TTGATGACGGTAACCGTGAGGATCTGGGCCTTTCCCGTCTCCGTCCCTTGGAAGAAAAATTCCTGAAATTGCCCTGTCAAGCTTTGTGTTGTGCTCTGTCGGGAGTCAGGCCAGTGGGTCTACAGCAACAGAAGACAGGTAATTTCATTTAGTGATTACTGCGCAATTATTCGTGGCTTAAAAATCGATTTTCTGGCGATTTTTTCTCAAGTCACTGGAATGTGTAGATGCATCAGATGCAAACCCACCGACACGTTTGTCAATATCAAATCAAGCGCCGTGATTGATTTTTTTTCATATTCTCAAGCATCCGCTTTTCCTTAGTTTTTCTTATTTTTCTTCTTATTTTTCTTCTAATTTTTTTTTCTCATTTTTTCCCATTTTTTCCCATTTTCTTTTCACTTTTAATCTCAATTATAGGGTCAGAGACCTCTATATGGAGTGTAGACTCGATTGCCTGGTTACAATACAAAGTGTCCGGCACAAAGCTTCTCGCATATCCTACAAGAGTCGAGTCCAGCAAGCTTGTCATTGTCGATCTCTACGTGTTCCCTCCCAAGTACCCAAAGCTGAAAACCCCAGTATCGTCTGTAGCAGGGAAAGGTCTGCCGGGACTACAGTTCAGTATTGCAGAGATGATGATAACTTCCGGTGTGGCGCAACGAATCATGCCGCAAGTGGAAGATGGTGGCGCGTGCAGTACCGGGTCGAGTCCTTTGTCGGAAGGGAGCAACGGGTATTTGACTCGGAGCTGTAGTAGTGTGAGTATTGGGAGTAGCGTGCAGGAAGGAAATGGACTCGTCGAGAAATGTGCGGATACTGTAAATTTTAAAGAGGAAAGTGCGTTTACGGACAATTCTTGTTCATCGAAAGAAACTGTTATTCACGAGTCAGCTCTAACGAACGAAGAGCATGCAAAGGTGAATGAAGAGTCTTCTTTGGATGAAGCAGAGAATACAGATTCCAATTCTGGACAGAAGGTGACGGATCAACAAATCGACAGCGCACCTGGATTAAGCTGGAAAGATAGAAATTTAGAACATTCCCACGACCAAAAAGACATAAAACCTATTGGTAAGTGAAAGAGGGGTGTTACCCAACGTAGGCGAACTGCCCTAGAACTTCACCTTTAAATAGATGGTTAAAATACCCTTCCGTTGTTTTCTTGTCATATATTGAAAAATTCTGAGTTCTGATTAGCTAAGAACGTAAGCTTCGAGCTGATGGGAAGCACCACATTTTAGCGCTCTTTTTTTGGGGGGGGGCATAAAAACCTTTTCATCGCTTGGTATTAACTCATAGACATGGATTCCTTTCTTTGGGCGGATTTTTCGTTAACGAATACTTGTTTACAATCCACAGAATACAAGACGTTTCTATTAACTAAGGTTTTCATTCCCTAATACTAGTTTGTCGACAGAAAATCTCGGAATAAAAGTGGTCTTTTCATTTAACTTTAGATATTGATATTTTCTCTACGTTTTTTTTTCCATCGTAGGTGTATCGATGTTCCCCGAGTCCCTTCCCATGTCAGGCCCTGAAGAGTCCTTCGTCACCGAGCTCCCACCCATGCAGGGCCCTGTTTGCCTACAAATGCTGATGTCTCATGTTGTGAGTCCCAGCGAGTTTTATGTTCATCTTGTAACGCCAGATGCTGGAATTCTTGATGTTATGATGGACGAATTGAACAAGTTTTACGACAGTACGTTAATTTACTCTCTTTTGTTTCCTATAATCCCTCGTTTTTTTTATCTGTTATTTTCTGAAATCTCCCTTGCGATTTTTTTCCCTTTTTATGGTCCATAGGTGATCCTTTTCCCCAAAGTTGTGAGTCAAGTAATGGTTTCCAGCCCCAAATAGGAGACTACTGCTGTGCCCGTTTCACAGAGGACGGGAGATGGTACCGTGGTCTGGTGACCGGTGTCCGCTGGACTGTCAATAGTCAAAGTCCAATCAGCAGTGTTCTCGATGTCCAAGTATTTCATGTGGATTTTGGAAGTTCCGAGTTTATTTCTGTTACTGATATCAAGCCTCTCGAAGCCAAATTCCTATCGCTACCTGGGCAGGTGGTGAAGTGCCGACTGGCGAACCTAAGACCTTTGATAATAGAAGGTTAGTCTGTTTTTTATACAGGACTCCAAGCTCAGCTCTTTTCTAAAATGCCATTTGCGACCCATGATCATGAATTGTTCGTCGGAAAGGAATTTTACTCGCCAAAAAGATATCGTTTTTGAGGTCCATACAACGTCGTTAGGCTTAGTACTCAGAGAATCAGAAGCAACGGAGCCTTCTAGTGTTGAATGAAGATGTTTATCTCATTTTTACTGTCGACCATAAACAGTAAATGATGAAAAGGTCACAGCTTCCTTTACAGCTGAACACTGGTCATTGAATTGACCACCCGACCCCTCCCCCCACCGGGCGATAATTGACGGCTAATCCCATAGAACGCTGAGTCGTTACGTTTACTTCTAGAGACCTCGCCAGCCCCAGAAGAAGTCCCTGCCATGGAAGAAAAAACCGAGACAGTCAGCATACCAACAGAAGAAACCCCCCCGAAAGAAGAGAAACCAGAAGCGGTGGTTGAACGGCCCACCAAATCTGATTCTTCTCCTTCGCGGAAATCTCGCACCAAAAGGGACAGAAGGAAACGAAAACGAACCCCGAAGATATCGTTAAAGGATGAAAATATTGTTATACGCGCGGCTGGTGATGAATCTTACGAGAGCAGTGAAATGAGTGAGATTGAATTCTTGAAAAGCAGAGACCAGGAAAAAGAGAAAAAGAAAGTGAAAGATAACAATGATTCCAAAGTGGATAAAGCTGCGTTTCCGGTGAGTGCAAGAACCACACGACCCAGGAGGCCTGGACCCTGCGCTATCGAATCTCCTCCCTACTAATCTGATACACCATTTCTCGAATACAAGAGTTTGCCACCGCAAAGGCGATACTGGCCTGGGTTCCAATTCTCTTTAGAGATTCTTGTTCTCAGGTTCCACGTCCGTTACGTATCTGTGAAATCTTTCGCATCGATGTAATTACCTGATTAACTGCGAACCCACCCTCCC